TAAGGTGTAAAATATGAAATAGATAAGAGATGCTTGAGACTTGGGGATGATAAAGAAAAATGGATTGATTGAGCGTCCAAAAATCAATTTACATCTCATTTGGAGCCTCTTTTACCAATTGATGAGCAATAAGAATGATTCATTAATAGGAAAGGGAGACGACGAAGAAAACTTTTGAGAATAATGAGTATTGAGAAAGAAGACACAAGAACGTCCAGTTCCAGCCACAGATTTAGCTTGAATCACAGACGAATGAATACAATCAAAGGTCACGGCGCAATTCACAAATCACAAGAGATGTACAAAGAAAGATCTTGACACAAATTACATGAGATGTTGTGATTATGACTCCAACACCCTTTTCAGATATCTAAACGTAATGGTAAATGAACGATTTGGTGGAATGTTCAACCCAAGTGTGTGAAAAATGCTAGTTAGCAACATCTCAGAAGATACTTCTATCGTTTTTTACATTTCACCCTCTATTCATGATTCACCAAGGGAGAAGTTTGAATTAGATCTCCACCTTGCTACCTTCACACCCTACCTCTCCTTTTGCTTGAAGGTTTGAAGCAATCTTCAACCTGCCTTTACACTTCTTTTTCTTAATATAATATAACTTATTTAGAATTAACCTACAAAGAAAGGCACTAATCATGGCAGTTGTGAACAAAAGGATTAACCTGCCAACAAAATTGCGACCCTATTTATTGCGGCAAATCTTCCATCTTTTATTCTTGGCCAGTCTGTACAAACTTCGACTGCACTTTATTATTTGCATATTTTGCTTTTAAGATTTGGTGTTATCACTTACAGCGAAGGACTACAACTATTTTGACATTTTTTAAGAGACTTAACTATGATACAATACCATATGTGGAAAGGACTAGTTAAAACTTGAACTCAAGTATAAGTTATAAATTGAATACAACTCCGAACTCTCAATGTGTCAGTTGTTTGATTGCAATAATACAAAATGTAAGAAACATGGATTTCTTTCCAATCTTTAAGGCTATACTTGCTATCAGTCGAAAGACTTCTAAAAGAAAGTTGTCACCTCAATCACAGATCCTAACTTTTGTATGCTGCTTCTTGTGTTTAAGTCAAAAATGATAGTAACCCCTATACTATGGTTGGTGAAACTTACAACTAAATTAGTTTCTAAAAAAGCTGAACAAGAATCCACAAGAGGTCCATGCCCAGAAAAAAAAAGCAACTCAGTGGTGATCACTTGAATTTTGAATTCACTCGGTAGGACACAGAAGGAAAATGTAACATATACAGACAACTTCAGAGATTTTGCTAGACTAACAAGAGAAGTTATAGAGGATGTCTTGAGCATACATCAAAGAGCACACAACTCTAAAGTGTGCTATCTAACCGCTTAAAATTTTAGATGAAATCATTACAGTTTCAACAAAATGTCACAGCATGCAGATGTTAAGATGTTCAAGCCGAAACATGCAAAAATCATTACAAATCCCACATTGGTTAAAAGAATGAATGATATATGTGCCTTCGCCAATACTTACCTCATGAAACAGCTTTTGGGTTAAGCTAGGCCTAATATCTATTTTCTTAACAATGCCAAAGACAGTTGCAATGAGAATCACAAGAAAGCAGATAAACCTTGGCAATATTGGTTGAACAAAAACAAATATTTGACACCTACCAAACAATGCAAGCTAGCAAAAGGAACAAAATTGTTTTATCATAAACTTCAGATCAGAAACTGATCACTTTAACTAAAATCAAAAATGTAAAAGTAACCCTAACGCCTATATGAAGGAAATGGTATTCGTGCATCTCAAAAGTAAAGAAATATTGAGGGAATGAAATCTCACAGGTCATCTAAATTTACACTCTTAGATGAACTATGAAGGTTTTGAGATATTTCTAATACAGGAACTGCCAAAGATTCCTGGAGATATCCTGCCATCACTGAGCCCAAACATGATAAATGATGCAAAAAGTGGACTCAAGCTCTGATGGTAGGTTCTGCTTCCTTACTTCGCACCCAAAGAAGGGAATTGGCGAACATCTTCAATGGATGGTGCTGAAACACTGTTGTTACCAACAACACCATCTCTCCCATGATCACGTCCCCCCCTTCCACGGCCACCTCGGCGATAGTAACTTCCTCCATCAGCAGGCTTCAGAAACTCATTAATGCTTTTTGTCTGCAAATATTCAAGAAAAATTAGGCCCGCTACAGAAGATGATATAAAAATTTCACAGTTCAAATATATCGCATTCAGCAATTGGTCAACTTATTGAAGATCACACTCTATCCGGCTCTTCAAGGATTCATCTAGCTTACCCACACCAGAAGATATGTTTGATTGCTACTGCCTCTGGCTTTAGGAAAAAGGTTCACCAAGCTTAAGGTACATCCCTTATTAAACTATAGCCAAAATACCCTTTCATGCCCCAGCCATTCCCTTACCCTACTAAGGCAAAGAGAATGTTACTACGAAATTATTGAAAATAGAAGTCAGGGCAACAGAAATAAACCTCGAAACTTGGAAACAACTTTACCTAGAGTCCATAACTATGTAACATCTAGAACAACACACAAGCACATCATAAACAGCTTACTTAAGGAATCCACTAAATTTGCAACATGACCACCAACACTTTGCAAAAGCTAACAGCAGAAGCAAGACCAAAGAGATGATTTGACCCAGAAATGACAGGACATCATGTAATGGACAAGTGAACAAATTGGATTATAAAATCCATAGTCCCTGGGGAAGTAGATTGAAAGGCCAGTGCATGAGTTACTTGATACTCAATGGTAAACTCGCAAGTTGTATCAAGCCAATAAATTCATTAAACAAGTGGATCTAGGATTTGTTGCTAACGCAGGAACCACAATGTAGCTTTTAATAAAAGCTTTCTGACCAAAATTTGTTAAAGAAATCAGTAATATGAAATTTTATGTGACTTCATCGAAGTTCTACAACAAAAATTCTGCAGGTAACAAGTTTGATACGAATAGTTGACCCTTTCTTACTTTTATTGACCCATATATTTAGCCCTATTTCTTTTTTAAGGTGGAGGGAGAGCCTACCACCCTCACCCTTATTATTGCATCCACCTGCGTAGATGGGCATGTAGAAAACTTCCCTCCCTCACATTTATATCATACTCCCTACAACTATGTGAAGGGAGCAAGAAGGTAGGTGGAATAGGTTGACAAATGAAGATGCCAGACCACAAATAGCAGTATAATTATGAGGTAACACAGACATCCTAAAAGATAAATCATACAACAAATCATGTAGCCAGCTTCTGAGATACCAAAATAGATGTTTCACAGTACTAAAGAACCTAAAGTACCTTCTTGGCCTTTTCCACTGCCTCCTTACGCTTGTCTTTCTCAGAACCCTGTCAATATTTTCAAGCACAATTAACATACTAATAGAGAATAATCAAGTACTTAATAGCCAACACTATAGCAACTATATAGTAGCTTATACCAAGCAAGCAACTCACCAATTTAATGAAAACCTCATCATCACTTTTCTTGTTTGACAGAAGTTGCATGGACTCAAGCTCTTTGTCCAAATTAACCTTCCTTTCCTCAGGCTTTAGAGCCAACAAAGCTTTCCTCTTATCTTCCAATAACTTCTCATACTCTTCTAGGGTCATTTCCTACATATCAAGCAAGTAAGACAATATACTTAAGCAAATATGAACACTTACAAGTACAAGATAATATAATATGCAAATAACAGACCCAAAAGCAATATGAACAAATACCAGGCAACCTAATCCCCTGCAAATAGATGAAGGTTAAAATGCAGTAGTCCACCAGATTTCACATATCAAATTTAAAGCTGTTTCAATTAAACAACTATATGTAATGTCCATGACAGGATGATACCATTCACCATAAAAGAACTAGCAAGTATCTTTATTAAAAAGAACTAGCAAGTAACCAAGATAAAGATAATGCACTGAGAGATATTAATTTGTAACAGCAGAAGCAGACATGTTAACAAGTGGAAACAGCACAGAAAAAAAAAGATAGTTACCTTCTCCTCTGGTTCCTTCTCTTGTGGCTCAGCTGCAGGAGAGTCCTTGCTAGCGTCTTCAGCATCTGCCTGCACAGCTGGTTTCTCGGTATCAACAATCTTCTCTCCCTCATTAAGAGGCTCTTCTTTCTCCCTGAACTCGGATAGAATACAAAACTTATGCTACAAGAAACAACAAACATGATGAATAAAGAAAGAAATTAAGATGAAAATGCTCACGGAGCAAACTCGTCAGCGGGAGTTCCCCAATTCCCACGACCAGCACCCTCTCGTTTAAATTCATTCCTATACAATAAGAATATGAGTGCACTTACACTTACTGCATTCAAGCAATCAAGTCATACCAGCTAAATAAGCAGCTAAGCACATTGTAACCAGTTGATCCCCCGGAAAGAAAAAAAAAAGAAATGTGGAATATGCGTAGGTCATTTTAGAAGTTCCTTTAAATGACTTACCCACGTCCAGTTCCACTTCGTCGCTCAAACGCTCTCCTGGGGCGTTCATCTGCAGTGTCACCATTGCTGAATCCACCACGGCGGCCACCGCGGAACTCCCCACGAGGTCCTCCATATCCAACTCTCCTTTCGGAGTGCTTCGCTGAATCTCCATCTTCTGAAGCTTTGTACCCTCCAGAGAACCCATTACTGCTGCCAAAAGTATTCTCACCATCAGCAGGATATTGGTTAAACCCACGGCCACGACCGCGGCCACCAAATCCTCCGCGTGGACCCCCACGGCCTCCTCCACGCTGGCCATCATTCCTTGCTTCCCTCACTGCTCAATAAACATCAGAAAAATAAGAAACCAGGAGAATCTCAATTGGACGACTCATGAGTGGTGAATGTGGAGTGTAACAGAAGAACAAAACGTCTACATTGTCTTCAATACTTCCATACAAATTAAAGAGAGAAGGTCAGCAAAAAATATCAGACTCATGCGACTGAACAGGTGTGTGTGTGTGTGTGTGTGTGTGTGAGAGAGAGAGAGAGAGAGAGAGAGAGAGAGAGAGAGAGAGAGAGAGGTGGAGATATTAAGACCATAAGAATGGACATTTCTCTTATTCAAGTACAACCAAAATACCAGCCAAACAACTTTTCATTAATAAGCAATTAGTTGAACATTCTCCTTTTCAGCTACTTATAAGCTACCATACCCAGCTAAATAACAGACAAATCATGCATAAAACTTGAAGAAACTATCATTTTATCACTTATGACCTAAAAATATCACCATGGTAGAGAGATATAAACTGTCCTATGACCTAAGAGAAGATTGTAGACTTACATATGTACTAGTCCTCAGTTGCAACTATTTCATGACAGGAGACGATAAAAGGGAACAAGGTAGCTCGAACTCACAGAGATAAAATTCTCAAAATTACTAAAACTCCTTCAGATCAATGCAAACTTTAGCCAAGAACATAAAATAACAGAAACAAAGCATCCATGAGACTACACCAACAAGGCTTCAGGAGTATTCTGGTAGTAGACTTGATTGTCGTGTAGGGATAAGTGTGACATTTAGAAAGACTCTAATTTGCCTTAAAAGACCAATTATTTAGTACTCCATTAGAATAAATTGGACATGAAGAGAGTGCAACATATAAAAAGGATATATACAGTCAACCCCAACTAATTTGGTAATCTAATGGATTTTAATCATTGATTATATGACTTCTTACCGAGGGAAGAGAAAAAAGCATACATTTACCAACTTCTAAATACTAGCAGATAGACTAGACAATATAATACAAGATATAAACTATAAAGTATCCTAACCTTTGTAAATTAAGCACTCACTCGAAGACAGGAAAAAGTTAAAAAAGTTCTAGTTTAAGTATACTGACGTTCAAAGCAAGCAAAAAAACTCCCTAAACACTTTGTAGCAGTACCGAACTAAGAAGGCAAAAAAACATAGCATACATTCAGAGTAAAGTGTGTATCTATTTTATATCATGTGGTCTCTTGGGCAATTTACATGCTACTTCCCACCAGCAAAGTATATATAGTATTTAAATATCCCAAGCAATTAGACATGTATAAGCACAAATAATTAACAGAAAGTTGAAATTACCAGCCTCAGATGGAGGGAGGGGCTTAGAGGGCAACTTAGCAGCAGGCTTAAATTGCTGAGCAGGTCCCTTCTTTGGAACAGAAGCAGGAGGAGGAACCTGTTTTTGCTGCTCAGCAGCAATTAACAAGCTTGGGTCCTCAGCATCATCATCCAGAAGGTCAAATGGGTTCAAAGTTGCCATTTTTTTGGATCTTTTGCTGAATAGATGGAGAGATACAAGATATATTGTATCTAAAGCTTGAAGCTTTAGCAAAGATGTATTGCGAACATATAAATCCTATTGATTAGAATCCATTGGAATAATGGTGTCTTGTAAAAAGCTTAAACTGGTTTTAGAGAGAGAGAGAGAGAGAGAGAGAGAGAGAGAGAGATACAAGATATATTGTATCTAAAGCTTGAAGCTTTAGCAAAGATGTATTGCGAACATATAAATCCTATTGATTAGAATCCATTGGAATAATGGTGTCTTGTAAAAAGCTTAAACTGGTTTTAGAGAGAGAGAGAGAGAGAGAGAGAGAGAGAGAGAGATACAAGATATATTGTATCTAAAGCTTGAAGCTTTAGCAAAGATGTATTGCGAACATATAAATCCTATTGATTAGAATCCATTGGAATAATNGAGAGAGAGAGAGAGAGAGAGAGAGAGAGAGAGAGAGAGAGAGAGAGAGAGAGATTGCCAAAACCCTAGCCGAAGCGGCAGATAATTGAGGGAAGTGAGAGTGAACCTAATCTTAATAAACCCTAGTAGAGTGGGTGGATTGGATGCGGGAAGGTTCACTGAATAGCGGGCGTGGAGTACATTTCAGTCTTGCCGGGTTTGTTGGGCTTTGACATTTTTTGCTATTTTGGATTCAACTGCTTCATTCTTTAATTAGTAAGGTTATGCCCGGGCTAAGCCCGGCCCCAAACTCAATATGAATCAGCGAAACATTTTGTATACAAAAAGTCAAGAATGAATAATCTTTTGCCAAAAAAAAGTAATGCATATCATAATCATCGACACCATATATATTTTGCAAATTTCATGCCAGCTATATTTAGATTCATATGTGCACGACGATAATTTGACTTAGGATTATTGAAAAAAGATTTTTTTTAGCTGCAAATGTCCAATGAAATGAGCATAAAAATCACAGAAACACAGTTCTTCCCTTTTGTGGTAAGCTTGGGAAACTTAAGGGATTTTTTTAACCCCGCTAGTTGTTTGCTATTCAATTCATAATAATGTACAAGTGGGTTTCCGAGATGTCAATAGTTACATAAAGTGCATGAACATATATTGTATACTTAAGTTCTTATAGTTACTGATTGATTAATTTGGTGGTCTTTTGGGAGTACTTTTTTAACATAATGTTCAAAGAGTAGTTTAGAAATAAAAAATTATTGATGTATGATGAACGCAACGTACGGTGTGCTTTCTAATGAAAGTTTTCATAAGTTTGCACCTCTTATTTTAGGTTTCCTTTTACTTTCAAGGGAAGACACAAAATATATTATTTTGCTATTTATTGTATTTTTATATTTAGATATAAACTATGATAGTATCAAAAAAAAAAAATTCAAATAGTGGTACATCATTAAAAAATTGATATGCAAGAGATATGAAAATTATTAAACTTCAATAGTCATTATATTACGTAATAAAAAAAATAAAACTATAAGTATTGTACAACATCAAGAGTCAAAATTTTCATATATTCTTTATAAATTATTGGCTTTCAAATAAACTTCTTAATCCAATAAGTAATATTTATTGTTATACGTCAAAAAGAACAACTTTAAATGATGTATCAATGCTTTATTTAGTTCAGTAAAAATTTAAATGATGACTAAAAGGATAAACCCCGTTTATCTTAACGAGAAGTTTTCTTTTAAAAAAAATATTTCACTGCTCAAATAATACATCTCTTTTTTTGGTGTTCTACCTCCAGAATAATATTTAGTGATTTATATATTGTATAGATTATTCTAGTAATTAATGTAGATTAGAGGAAAAAATGTTACCATAAATTATGGTCAGCAAGTGTATACGGTCGAAACTGATTGCGGCCTTCGTACGTCTGATCTAAATGGAAACATAATGGACCGAAGAAAGTTTTCGTAATATCGAGATGGGATCCGAAGAAGGCACAAACGAGCTTCGAGTTTCAGGAACGGGTCAAATACCGAGCTCGAAGTTATTATCGAGCTCGGGTCCGAATCGAACTATGTTGAAATATGATGGAATCGAGCTTAAGGGCCAGGGGTCAACCAATACCGAGCCCGAGTCATTATCGGACCCCGAGTCGGCATCAAGCTCAAACACGCATCGAGCTCTAAAACTGGAAGCCGACCAATACTGAGTCCAGTCAAGATCGAGCTCATATACAAGAGCCGTTGTAGCCGCACTAAGGGAGAGAATTTCGACGGGAATTAGGAAAAAGCTAATTTATCATGAATTTTTCACTATGTATTTTTAATTATATATAAAGTAGGGTTCCCCCACTATAAAGGGGATGGCGATATTCCTGTAAAGGCATCAAGTTTTACATACATTGTAACTAAGATATCATACACTCCTATATTGAAGAATTGTCCATTTTTAGCTTCATAGATTGATTCATCTTGCTTAATCCATAAATCATCTTCTTTCCAATTTTGCTTATTTTTCATTCTTTGCAATCAATATTCGATATTTTCATTTTACTCTTACGATTTGTGTCAAGTTATACTACATACCCTTAGAACTACGTACAAATTCAACTCTATCCGTTTTCGGGTAAACAGTTTAGCGCCCACTGTGGGGCTAAGGATAATAGTGATTATTTGTTACGAATCTGCAAAAATATACCGTTTTACGCTTATTTTCGGAAGTGCCTTTGATTTCGGATTAGCAACGACGAGCTCTCAAATTAAATGACCTTATCTATCGACAATGAAGTTGGCCTTCGAGGTGAAAACAACAACTTGATGCCCAGGGCCGGAATGCCGCTTGTTGACGCCGTTGGAGCTCGAGTCGAAGTGTCATTAGACGTTAATTCGTATGTGGCCATTGAGGCAAACCTACATTTTGAACCTGAAAATAGCATTCATGGTGGCACTCGATCTGCAGCTCGAAATACACATAACGTCGAAGAAAGCGGCGTCAGCTTGCATGTGATCTTCGAAATGTTGCAAGCTCAATAGGCAGCAATAGCTCAGTTACAGAGTCAAACCTAGATGCCGAGCAAGCCGGAGCCCAGTCCACCCTGAGAAATCGACCACAGAACGGAATCAGCTATAGTAAGATCAAATGAGCAAGAGTCGGGGACTAATCCCGAAATTGTTAAAATGTTCGAAGAACTCACCAAACAAATAGAATCTGGAGAAAGGAGGATCGAATAAAACGACAAAAAAGGTAGAAACATATAACTCCAGGGTTGATCAGATCCCGGGGGCACCACCGATATTGAAGAGCTTAGATTCCAAAAAATTCATACAAAAGCCTTTCCCCCCAAATGCGGCTCTCAAACTGATCCCAAAGAAATTCCGCATGCCCGAGATTCCTAAGTATAACAGAACTACCGACCCCAACGAACATGTCACCTCTTACACATGTGCCATTAAAGGGAATGGCCTAGAGGACGATGAAATCGAATCCGTATTATTAAAGAAATTCGGTGAAAACCTGTCAAATGGAGCAATGTTATGGTATCATAATTTACCATCTAATTCTATCGATTCTTTTGCTATGCTTGCGGATTCCTTCATAAAAGCGCACGCCAGGGCCATAAAGGTCGAGACCAGGAAGTTGGATCTGTTCAAGGTAAGACAAAAGGATAACGAGATACTAAGAGAGTTCGTATCTCATTTTCAAATGGAACGAATGGATCTGCCACCAGTCACAGACGATTGGGCTGTTCGGGCTTTCACTCAAGATTTGAACGAGCGAAGTTCGACGGCTTTCATGGCGGTTGAAGCATAACCTAATCGAGTATCCGGCTATTATTTGGGCCGACAAGCATAATCGGTACAAGTCGAAAATTAGAGTCGAAGACGATCAGTTGGGTTCCGAACCCACTGTTAGAAGGGACATCAATCGGGAACAAGATCCGATCAAGGACCGATACTAACCATATAGTGGAAACAACAGGACTAATAAATCGAGACGTAACCCCGGACAAGGCAATAAAATGAGTGATCGAGGTCAAGGGTTTCGGGGGCTGATGAACAAAGATAGGTTCGACAGGCCTACCGGACCTAAGGAAGCACCATGGTTATCGGAGTATAACTTCAGCATCGATGCATCCGTTATCGTGTCAGCTATCGGATGCATCAAAGACACTAAATGGGCTCGACCCATGCAGACTGATCCTGCCTAGAGAAACCCCAATCAAATGTGAGAGTATCATGGCACCCATGGCCACAGAACGGAGGATTGCAGGCAACTAAGAAAGGAGGTAGCCCGGTTATTCAATAAAGGGCACCTTCGAGAATTTTTAAGCGACAGGGCCAAAAACCATTTCAAAAACAGGGATTTCGGTAAACAAAATGAATAGGAAGAACCACATCACATCATCCACATGATCATCGGTGGCGTCAATACCCCTCAGGGACCACTGCTTAAACGCACTAAGACATCGGTTATGAGAGAAAAGCGACCTCATACTCAGGATTACGCACCCAGAAGAACCTTGTCCTTTAATGATGAAGATGCAGAAGGAGTCATGCAACCTCACAACGATGCACTGGTAATATCTGTACTTATGAATAAAACTAAAGTTAAGCGTGTGTTAATTGATCCGGGTAGCTCGGCCAATATTATTAGATCGAAGGTTGTAGAACAGCTCGGTCTGGTCCTAAACGAATTCAATATGGCATGTGAAACCACCAAAGGCGAGATAATCATGCCGATAAACATGGCCGGGACCATCCAAGAAACAAAGTTCCACGTAATCGAAGGTGACATGAGGTACAACATCCTTTTTGGAAGGCCATGGATCCATAATATGAGAGTTGTACCTTCGACCATCCACCATGTGCTTAAATTCCCAACATCAAAGGGAATCAAAACAGTGTACGGAGAGCAACCGGCTGCAAGAGAAATATTTGCCTTCGAAGAAGCAATTCCGATATCCTCACATTCGTCAACAAAGGGATCACACTCAAAAGGGGAACAAGATGCCAAATAGCAATCACAGACGCCAGCCTCACCACAACTAGAAAATCAGAAGACTGACGAAGATGGTGATCAAAGGATCCCTCGATCCTTCGTGATCCTCGATGATTCCGACGCTACCCAATCAACGATTGAAGAACTGGAGCAAGTCATACTAATCGAATATTTTTCCGAACGAAATGTATACCCCCGAACTCATGAAAAGGCTTATTCAATTTCTTATCAATAACATAGATTGTTTTTCTTGGTCCCATTTAGATATAACAGGGATCCCACTGAATATAATGACGCATCGGCTAAGCCTGGACCCTAGGTTCAAACCGGTGAAACAAAAGAGAAGACCCCAGTCCGAGGTAAAGCACACATTCATAAAGGACGAGATAACTAAACT